ATGTATGAAACCCTGCCCCTTCATAGGGGTGTGACGCAATAGAAAAAAGAAAATTTTCTTAGGAAGAGTGAGAAACAAACAAATGTGGTTGGTGGTTGCTGTTTGGACGTGCTGCATTCAGTGCTTCAGTTGATGCAAAAAAGTTTACTCGCCTTATCCTGTGCTGTACTACTGTACTCCGTTCTGAATTGAAGAAAAGAAACGAATAAGATGTGACGGACAGGTGGGCCATGGTGTAGTACGTAGGGTGCACTTGTTTCGAGGCAATCTCTATCTCTCTCACATCACATGATAAACGATCTTCCCCTGCTCTCTCTCTCATATCCTGCAAAAGTGAAGCCCCATCTCTTGCATTGATTTCATCAGCATCAATAGATTAAGGCCACGGTCAGGGCTGCTCGCATGGAGATTGAGGCCACGCCTGCGCCAGCAGTATAAAATACCCAGCTCCCTGAACAGAGCAGAGGGACCTAGACTAGAGAGAAGATCTTTAGTGCTGTACTTTGTGAGGAGGAGAGAGGATGATGGAGGTGGCGGTGGAGATCCCGCAGCCGCCGGCGTGGGACCACTTCAAGGAGGAGGTGGAGGTCATGGAGACGGAGGGCGGCGGCACTGCCGTCGCCGCCGCCGCCGCTGCTGCAGGGGAGCTGCTGACCAGGGAGATCAATAAGAGGCTGCTGGTCCATGCCCATGAGAATGGGAATGGCCATGGCCATGTCCATGCCAATGGAGGAGGAGCAGAGGAGCTCAAGGCTGCTCCTGAGGTGGAGCAGAAGGAGGAGGAGAAGACTCCTGAAGAGCCCACGGTTGCTCAAGAGGAGCAGCAGCGTCACAAGAGTATCTTCTTCGATCCAGCCAAAGGTAACACCTCCCTGTTTCTTACCCATCCCCTTCCATGCACTGTTTTGGATGATGAACTTGCTCCTGCTTAATTAATTTCTTTCTCTTGGGGATAAGAATGGGATTTAATTGGATGGTCCATTTCCTCCTGCTTAATTAGCTGTTAATGTGTCACCCTTTCTTGATTGATTTCAGAGGCTGCATTATTTTCCTGCAGGAGACAACTCCTGTTGCACTGATTTCAGGCTCCACCTGCCTCTCATTCCTTAATTTGTCCATTTCTGGAAAGCAATAATTCTCCAAAAAGTAATCCATATGTGCTGTGCAAAATTAACTTTGTCATTTTCTCAGAGCTCTAGCCTCTAGTCAGTGTCTGGATGGTGAAAAATGTGAGAGAATTTTAATTACTGCTGCTGTCCCTGCTGCTTCGGTTTTATTTACCTGGATGCAGATTACTGCGTTCAGTACCCTGGAGATCTTATTCAGGAACAAGACAAAAAAGGACGCATGCTAAAAATGACAAAATTTCAGTGAAAGTGATAGTATATGCCAACATCCCTCTCATCTAATCTAGGCCCCATTAACAATCATGGGAAACCTTCTGCTGACCACTCAATTCACTGGATCCGCAAAGTATTTCCTATAAGTTATCATTGAGATTAGACACTAACTGTCTCTTAAAATTAGCTTTATATTGCTTCACTGAAGCGTTAGCTTTGTGGTCGTTCGATAATGTGAGTAGTAAAGCTAGTTTTTCTATTGCTTTACTGAAAGGTTAGCTTTCTATTGCTTTACTGAAGGGTTATGGAAGTGCCGGCACTGCGATTGGACGTACCGCCTGAGTAGTCCGTGTGGGAATGGTACCGTAGATCATCGAGGCTACCGCCACCGAATCGAACGGAATATCGAATCGTTAGTTGAGAAGAAAGGATCGTTTTACGGTTCACCGAACAAAGGTTAGTGCTGTGACCGAGCAATATGGGGATAAGGAAATTTAGGACAGCGCTGATTAACTTGCTTCAGTTTATCTTTGCGCTTCCTGTCATATTTTTCAAAGTTGCTGCTGCGCAAAATAAAATGTAAAGTTGCTTCGCAATGTTTGAATTAGTACTGATATCTCTCCCTTTGTTTTTCAGTTCCTGATATTATTACTGAGGTAAGTGCCAGATATCTGGTCACGGGAACGATGCGATCTGGTGACGAAAAGGAAGCCGCAGGTGAAACTCCAAGTACAAAAGACAAGCAGCTTGAAGCACATGAAAATGGCAATGTTCAGGAAATCAATCATGGCCCAAGCAACGGCGAGTTAGAAAATGGAACACACTCAAATGGTTCGCATCAGGTCCCCAATGGCGCTGAACCTAAGACAGAGTACCTGTTTGAAATCAACAAGACTGAAATTCACCCAACTGAAGTTGACAAGGGCGAACCGGTCACCGAGGCTCAGCCGAAGGTCGAAGAGTACGACCTCGAGAAGATTTTGGACCAGCAAGAAACTCATGACCTGTTCTGTCCCAACTGCAAATCATGCATAACTCGGAGGGTGATCCTGAAGAAGAGGAAAAGGACAGTAAGGCCAGCAACCCCCGAGCCCGATGGACCGTCAAAGAGACCGTATACTGAAGAAGTGCTAGTGCCACTGCCTTCTGCTGCTTTATCTCGAAGTGATGAGCAAGAGTCACCCGATGTATTCAGATGTTTGTCATGCTTCTCCTTCTTCATTCCAACAGGTATCAGTAACTTTCCTGGTTCAGTTTTATTGCTTTAAAATGTTTTGTTGCAAATGGGACTGGCTTAACTATATATTGTTCTTGTCAGCAGGATGCAGTTTCAACATATTCCGTATATTTGGGAGGAGGGATGTGGACGGACAACCTGATATTCTGCCTCCTCCGGCATCAGAGCACACACCTCCTCGGTCTGAAAATTGCACAAGCTGGCTTCTATCTTGTTTCCAGCCAGGAGATAGCCCAAACCAAGCTGCTCCTGTAGGTATGTATCTTAAAAAAAATATGCATCGTTATTGATTATCTTGCAATAGATACTCTACTTTATCAGCTGAACAATTCAACCTATTGCAGATCCAGCGACGGTGCCACTGCTGTCCGGTACACAGAGCTCCGACAATACAACCACAGCAACTGAATCTAGCTCGTCATATGTTCATTATAGCCATGGCACAGTTGTAAAACCAAAGCAGTCGACAGTCGAATCTTCTTCGGAGAACCAAGCTGCTGAAGGTCTGTAACTTAATTATGTTCTCTTGACCATTTTATATGCAAGTGATCCTCTGTTTCATCAGCTGAGCAGTTTAACACATCACAGATCCAGCGACGATGCCACTGCAGTCCGAGACGCAGAACTCCAGTGATACAACCACAACAACTGAATCTAGCATATCCTATGTTCATCATAGTCATGGCACAGTTGTAAAACCAGAGCACTCAATAACCGAATCATCGTCGGAAGATCAGACGACGACAACCACCACAACTAGGACCACGAAAGCAACAGCTACGTCATCCTCGACAACCACATCAAAAGCAGCTAACACATCATCTCACACACAGTCTGCTGCAGGTACGTTGCGTGCAACATTGTTTTGTTTTATGGATTCATAGATGTGTACTTTACCGGCAATAAGCCGCAATGGATACATTTGCATATAAACATAAAATATATGCCAAAGAAGAGTTTCTATCGTTTCATGGGTTATATAGCAACATGTACTTCTTTTCTCATGAAAGAACAAAACATGCAATACTTCATGATGCTAAACATTTCCATATTAATTGTGCCATCACAGTTTATTTAGGACTAGTTTGTCAGTGTAGTGGACTAAAGTAACAAAAGAATAGAAACGTCGCGTGCAGGGATCTTCCACACAGACACACTGGAAGTGATAACCGGTGAAATGCCTCCCCCGAAGCCTGCCGGTGGCGCTATCATGGATGGAAATCACCACCTACTTGGCCATGAAGGTGGTCCTAATAAAGAGTGTTCAGTTCGCATCAGCTACTGTTTTTCAGAGATGCAACCTGATAGTGGCAATTTTATTTGCTCAGATGTCCACAAAACTACAACGACTACCTTCGAGAATGGCTTTACAACCCATTCAGTTCACACATCAGGACCGAAGGTCGATGGCCCGAATGTGACAAATATCGCGAGGGGCGACATAACAACTACGCCGATTCCACAAGCAACAGGTCCACATCATGTAGCGGTATCAGTCCCTGAAGAAGTGAATCTGGTTGCTCCTAGTCCACAACAGAGGGATGACTGGGATATATTGAAAGCTATAGTGTATGGAGGCTTAGTGGAGTCAGTCACCAGCCTCTCTGTTGTTTCGGCAGCAGCATCAAGCGGCGCCAAAACATGTCGGTTACTTCTTCACTTCTTCCATTCAGATGTTTGCCTCATCAATTCCAATGTTTTGACACTGATTAATATACAGTTTCATTTTGATCCTCCTCGTGAAATGAAAATTTCTTTTCTTCACTTGCAGTGGACATATTCATCTTGGGCATGGCCAACCTTATTGGAGGACTCCCACTCATTTTCCACAATGTAACAAGCTTCTCTCCTCACTGAATGTCCCAATGTTTTTACAGAAATCTCAAGCCGAACCCCCCAAAAACTAACGTAACCTTTGTCGTCGATGACAGATCGCTGATCTGAGAAACATCCAAGACGTGAGCAACGAGAAGGAGCGGGTCGGCCACTACTGGCTGCAGCTCGGAAGGCGGTCGAAAGCCCGGCTCCACATGGTCCTGGCCCTGCTATCATACATGGTGTTCGGGCTACTTCCACCGGTCGTCTACGGGCTGTCGTTCCGCGAGAGCAACAACAGGGAGAACAAGATGATGGCAGTCGCCGGTGCTTCGCTCATGTGCATCGCTCTGCTGGCGCTCGGAAAGGCGCATGTCAAGACAGCACCCAGGACATACTTCCAGACCCTCATGTACTACCTGACCATCGCCGTGAGCTCGTCGGGGCTGTCGTACGTCGCCGGCGTGCTCATCACGCGGCTCCTGGAGCATTTTGGTGTCATCGAGCAAGGCGGGTCGGCTGCTCCTGCTCCTCCAGGCCTGTCGTTCCCTCATTCGGTGGGTGCACAAACATCTGCCTGGGCCTCATTCTGAAGTCCGAACTCTGAAGTTCATGGGAACACTGGTGCAAAAAAGGAAGACATGTAAAGAGCAAGTGCCTGAAGAAATTTAGGAGGTGCACACTAGGAGATGTAGCACTAGCTAGATTACCTTGTGACATATCTTGGGCTTCACTTAGTACTAAAACATGAAGGCACACATTTTTGTTTGTTCATAAATAGTTTGGATTGCTTACCACATGTGTCATCGTGAAGGCACACATTAAGACGGTAGAAACATAAAATATAATTAGAACAGATGTCTCGTTGAGCTTCATATTTATTTTCAACCTTATTCGGTGGCAAACAGTAGTGCTCCCAGTCCAAATAATATCAGATGTTATTACAACCAATATAGTACTATATCTCAGGAAACAAAGAACTTTAAGCATTGACAAACTAATTTGAGGCATTGACACGATAATGTGCCAATGAGCTGTGTGTCTGTGTACTTCATTCAGAGTAGGTGAATTTGATATCCCCAAAGTAACTGAACATGAACTTGAACTTGTGCAGGAAAGAGGGCACATCAACGGACCAACACAATAGCAACAAGGAACAGGACATGTGCGTCACTTGTGTTTATCTCTAACCACCTGTGTTCTAAGTATAGTCCATTGTCCGAATGAAACCACCAGCAAGTTACCAAGCCATTAGTTTTGATGGAAAATGTACTATCAAAATGTACCCGACCCGAAATCCTAGTTCAGTGACCGATTTGTGTCATGTTTCAACTTTATGTATGAATTTGTACCCACCCTGCAAGTTGATGTACCAAAAGTGTAGTGGATTCCCCCTAAAAACATGGCATATTTTGCTTCATCCAGAACAGGTGAGTTAGTACAATCTTCAAAAACATGGCATATATTATTGTTTTTATAGTATGTAACACTGAACTTATTGCTCTTCCTGCTCACAAACATGCTTACAGAGATCACCATGAGAAGCATCAGAGCTTCAAATGTACAACAAAACTACAGCAGAACAGCTAGCAGGAGGTAGCAGCAACTCAAAGAAGCCTTCAGGTGTTTCTTCATGCATTTGCAGGCACTTTCTCTTGAGCTCGCTCATGTCCTCTCTTTTTATACCAGCAGTGCTGCCCTGAACTTCAGACTTTTCAGAATGAGGCCCATGCAGACGACTCTGCACCAGCAGCAACATAAGCGAACGGCGACGACAGCCCTGGAGGAGCAGGAGCAGCCGAGCCGCCCTGCTCAATGATTCCATAGTGCACCAGGAGCCGCGTGATCAGCACGCCGGCGACGTACGACAGCCCCGACGAGCTCACGGCGAGGGCAAGGTAGTACACCAGGGTCTTGAAGTAGGTCCTGGTGTGCACGCGCGCCTTTCCGAGCGCCAGCAGAGCGATGCAGGCGAGTGAAGCACCGGCGACGGCCATCATCTTGTTCTCCCGGTCGTTGCTCTCGCGGAACGACAGCCCGTAGAGGACCGGCGGGAGCAGCCCGAACACCATGTATGAGAGCAGGGCCATGACCATGTGGAGCCGGGCTTTGGACCGCCTCCCGAGCTGCAGCCAGTAGTGGCCGACCTGCTCGTCGTTCCCGTCCACGTCCCGGATGTCTCTAAGATCAGCGATCTGTTTATCGTCCAGGAAATTATGGACATGTTAGCGTTTCGATGAAGCTCGGTGTGTCAGTCTTTTCTCTAGTGATCGGTAAGAACGGTGTGAAATTCAGTCAGAGAGAGAGAGAGAAGTTTGTTACGCTGTGGAAAATGAGAGGAAGTCCTCCGATAAGGTTGGCTATTCCCAGGATGAATATGTCCACTGCAGGCAAGAGAAGAACATAATTCCATTAGATGAAACAATGTAATATATCAGTGTAAAAATAGTGCCATTAATTAATTAATACAAGCAGGCATCTGGTAGCAAGAGGATAGTAACTGACATGTTTTGGCGCCGCTTGACGCCGCTGCTGAAACAACGGAGAGGCTGGTGACTGACTCCACTAAGCCTCCATACACTATGGCTTTCAGTATATCCCAGTCATCCCTCTGTTGGGGTCTAGGAGCAACCTGATTCACACCTCCCAAGACTGGTACCACAACATGATCTCCTGGTTGAGGATTCGGCGATGTTGGTATATCGCCCCTCGGGGTGAAACCTGGTACAGGTGGAGAAACTTGGCAATCAGATACAAAAGAGAGGCAGCAAGTTTCATAGAGGTGGTTGCCCTCGGAGATTTGTTTATTCAGTACATAACTTTACGACGACAGGCAGTGTGAAACAATAACAAATCTAAAAGGAAAATACCGCACACCTTGCATGATATTTGTCACAATGGGGCTATCGAACTTGAAGTCTGGTGTGTGAATTGCATGGCTGGTAAATGAGCCATTCTCTGCAGTTCCGTGAATATCTGAGAAAGTGAAGTTACTACTGTCAGGCTGCATCTCTGAATATGCATGATGATCACTTAATCAGACCTACCTTTGTAGCTAATTTGAGGGTGAGTTGGATCCATGATAGCTCCACCATAGGGCATTTTACCGGTCACCACTTCAGTTACGTCTTGCTTGAAATATTCTGCATGTGATTTTTCTATTGTCTGTTACTCTAGTCCAATACCTTGGTATACCGATCCTAAATAAACTGTGATGATGCAGTTACAGTATGAGCAAGTTATGCGCATAGCTTTCTGATCTATTGCCTGGTCGGTACGCTCCATGAAACTATACTAGCAACTTTTTGGCATATTTTCAACTATTTATACATTTGTCACGGCGCCACTGACACAGTTTCAACAAAATTTCAGAATTTGCAAGTACAGATGTCAAACGAATGTGGTGCCTTCGCCATTATTTCTAAAAAAACAAAAACTGTTGTTTTATGGTCTTGCTAACTGATGATCACTAAGTTGCAAATATAAATATGATTCCCGGTAGTACCTGTAGAGGATGATGTTTGAGGTGATGCGCTAGGTGCTCCAGTTGTGGTTTTAGAAGATGTGGTATTCTTTTCTGATGTGACTGTAGTTGTAGTTTCGTTGTCTTCAACTGTAGTGGTGGTTTTCTGATGTTGGGAAGATGAGTCGACTGTCAGCTGCTGTGTGCCATGACTATGCTGAACATATGATTCGTTAGTTTCAGTTGTCGTTGTGGTTGCACCACCGGGAGTCGCTATACCAGGTAACGATGGAATCCTTGGTAAATCTGCAATATGTTCAACGTTCAACCCACGTTAAGCATCAATTGCAAGCTCATCAACGGAGATGTATAATATTTTTCAACACACGTTACATACCTGAAGGATCAGCTTGGTTCTCCGAAGGTGATTCGGCTGTCGGATGCTCTGGTTTTACAACTGTGCCTTGACTATGATAAACATGTGATGTGCTAGATTGAGATTCAGTTACTGTGGTTGTGTTGCCGGACAGCAGTGGCACCGTCATTGGATCTGCAATATGTTGAATTGTTCAGCTGATGAAGTGGAATATCTATGCATATTTCTTACTTTAAGTTGGTCTGGAGAACATAGGTAGGTTACAAGCATACCAGCAGGATGAGGTTGGTTTGGGCTATCTCCAGTCTGGAAACAAGACAGAAGCCAGCTTGTGCAATTTTCAGACCGAGGAGGCGTGTCCTCTGATGCAGGAGGAGGCAGAACATCAGGTTGTCCGTCCACACCTCTCCTCCCAAATATGCGGAATATGTTGAAAGTGCATCCTGGTGACAAGAACAAAAGTTAAGCCAGTCCCATTTGCAACAAAATATTAAAGCAATAAAACTGAACTAGGAATTTACCGATACCTGTTGGAATGAAGAAGGAGAAGCATGACAAGCATCTGAATACGTCGGGTGATTCTTCCTCCACCGTATCAGGTAAAGGAACAGGAGGCACCTGTGCTTCAATATACGGTCTCTTTAACGGTTCATCGGTGGGTGTTGTTCTTACCGTCCTTTTCCTCTTCTTCAGGATGACCCTCCGAGTTATGCACGAGGTGCAGTTGGGACAGTACAGGTCATAAGTTTCTTGCTGATCCAAAATCCTCTCGAGATCGTACTCTTCGACCTTTGGTTGAGCCTCGGTGACATGTCCGTCCTTGTCAACTTCAGTTGGATAAATTTCAGTCTTGTTGATTTCAAACATGTATTCTATCTTAGGTTTAGCGCCGTTGGGGACCTGATGCAAACCATTTGACTGTGATCCATTCTCTAACTTGTCATTGCTTGGACCATGATTAACTTCTTGAGCATTTCCATTTTCGTGTCCTTTGCCTGTTGGAGTCAAAGTACCATTTGTGTCTTCCTTTTCGGCACTAGATCGCATCGTTCCCGTGACATGATAACTGGCAGTTACTTCGGTAATGATATCAGGGACTGCAAAAAAAAGAAGAAGCAATATCAGTACTAATACAAATGCTGTGAAGCAACTTTTTGTTTTATTTTGTGCAGCAAGAACTTTGAAAAAAATATGACTTAGAGAAAGCAAGACATACTGGCAAGTTTGCTAGGTAAATTGAAGCTAATAACTGCTGTCCTAATTTTTTTTCTTATCACCTTACTGTTGGGCCTTGATACTGACCTCTGTTCAGCGAACCGTAAAACAGTTCTTTCTGAACTAACGATTTGGGATTCCATTCGATTTCGTGGCGATAGCCCCGATGGTTCAGGATACCATTTTCGCATGGACTAGCGAAGCGGTAAGTCCAGTCGCAGTGCCGGCACCTCCATAACCCTTCAGTGAAGCAATAGAAAGCTAATTTCACTATACAAATTAAGAGAGAACTGGTGTCCAAGTCTAATGGTAGAAAGCAGAGGCTTCTAGTACACAACTCAATGATGACTTGTAACTTGTAAGAAAAACTTTTGCCTCAAGGAGTCACGGTCATAATCCACGCTGAGAGGGTAATACCTATCATTGTTTTTTTTAGCGGTCAGCAAAATGTTTCCTAGGTAGTTTTGAGTGGGAGAGGGCTAGTTTAGATGATAGTGATCTGTAAGTGACCCAATCAAAGCAAGGGTGGGCAGGCAGGG